ATTAATGAATATATGCACTGATAATTTGACATCTGTGAAATCAGTGTTTCATTGTCCTTTTGAGAAGATATGCAAGATGGCGTTTGGGATATAGGCTGTACTTTTTGTACTTGGCTTCTTAGAAAATTTACTTGTTTCTGAGTTTCATTTGCTAAACAGAAAATAGGTTTAAAAAGCAATTTTGTACTTTGGAAATCAGATTGTGCCTCAGTCATGTTTTTAAGAAAATTACTTCTCTTTTAATCCCAAATTTACGATTTAAAAGCCATTTTTGAATAGGTAATACTTCCATTATAGCTATTTTTTAACAGCATCTATGACTTGTTCTCAAACTTCCCAATATGTGCAATAGTTCAAAAAAATATTACTTAACAGGGAGTTACCTTTTCAGGCATATATAAGAGGGCTTTCTAGCACTTATTGTAAGACATGCACTGATTGATATAGAAAGAATGCCACCAAATGTACAAAAAGAGAAATTCACAAGGTAAGGTTTTCCTTTCCTTTTTTGACAAGCAAGAAAAAATGAATGCCAAAATGGTAAAATACCACACACAAGGTATATTGTGTTTTTTATGTTCTAGAAGTGTAGTGCTTCTTTTGGGCCAATTTGCAACTAGAACCAGGTTGCAAAACCATTATATAAAAAGTTAGGGAAACAGTTATGAGCTCCTTTGGATGGTCTCCCATATAATAAAATCCGTTTATTTATTAAACCAAATCAAAATTCCTCAACATTTCTTGTAGCAAATAAGTCCCTCCTTTTCCTTTTTTGGACTTTGGGTTGGGGATAAAAATAATCCATGTAGAAACGTTTTTGAAAAATGTTCCATCTTTCATATCAATAACATTCATATGCCAAGGAAGTAAAAAGGGAGACTCTACAGACAGCATGAGAAGGGATGAATAGAGTCATTTGACTGTGTCAGGTAACAAATCTAAAAACTGAAATGAAGTGTAATATAGAAGAATCATTATTAGGAGGCAAAAGAGAGAAGGATCTGCAGAAATTTTTTAAAAAAAACAAATATGAGAGTAATAGCGTTATCCTTGACTTTCCCAGACCCTGGAATTTACAGTTAAGCTTTGTTATCACCAGTGCTCAAATCATATCAGTTCTTACAAGCAATCCTGCATTCAGCACAACTTTCTGCAGAAACTATTTATACGCATACAGCAGTAAGCATGGACAGTATGTGCTTACTTTCTGTTAAGATCACCAAAGCATCATCAGCAAGGGGCAGAAAAGGCACAAGGATACAGATAGTCCTTGGGTTATGAAGGCAATTGGGACTGGAATTTCTATCGCTAAGGTGCAACATCATGTGGCCATATTGCTTAATGATGGCAATCCCAGTTGCCATCATTTAATAAAGACTGTGTAGTTGTTAAGTGAGGACCCTATATGAACACAATGTGGGAAGAGACATGAAATCAGGAAGTGCTCCGTTATGCTGCAGAAAATTTCTCCCAGGCAAGCAGGTCAGCAAGCAAAAGCTATAAGAAGGTGGACAAGAGCAATAAATAGATGGCAAGGTGTTGTGGGCAGGTACTACATAGATGCAGGGGCAGGTACAATAGTATACCTACAAGTGGGTAAGTGCCATAGGCAGGGCTTACAGAATATGAGATCCCCATGCCACCTGGGGGATCCTCATGAGAAAAAGTGGTAGGAGCGGGAGCAAGTTGCATGGGCAAAGTTGCAACCTCCTTCTGGCTTTTCCATTGACCTTGCTTGAATTCTATGGAAGCAAAGAAAAATTCTGTTTGCCTTTAGGGTATAGGGGAATGTTTTAGCCAAGAGTCTGTAATAAGATAGTTTATCTGTATACAAGTTAATAACTTGATTGGTCTTTGAAAACTATTGTCTGTGAACTTCATTATATCAATGCAACCAGTTATTTATAGATATAATATATTGGAAACTGAGCAGCATATCCTTCACACCTTGGATCTCTCCCAAATGTATAGTCTCATTGATGGTTTTTTATGTGAAATTCTTTTAATGGTGCTTTGAATTTTTCTTCTCTTTGCCAGACATTAATAGACTATGGACTCCTTATCTGCCTCACATGCTGGGGCCAGTGGGGAAGATATTAAATGAAGGAATTTCCCAAGAAGATGGGTGGTAACAGCACTAATTCCAACCCAGAAAATGGAGTCAGTGTGTATAATCCCAGAGTGTTTTGGGGAAATGCATTCTGAGATCTTAAATCTCTCAAACTGTGGGCTCAATCCACTCTATGCATAATTAATTCTCCCTGTAATCATTTTCATAAAGAGTCGCAATGCATTTTTTTCTCTAACCTTCACATAGATAGCTTTTTCTGAACAACCATACTTTTAAAATGTATTTGCCCTGCAGGTTTATAAAAAAAGGCACATTAGAAAAGGCAGTTCTAATCTTCATGCTTTTCTTAATAATCCTTTACAACGGAACACACCTACAGATTTATAAATTGCGTGCAAAGTTTGGCTACTCCAGTCAAATTTTATGTGCATCCCTAAGCATGTGTTCAAATTTCAGAAAGATGTTGGATTTAATTATGAACCATGAAAAAATTGTAGTAGCTCTTCTTTAGGATTCATCATCAGAAATTGACTAAGAGAATTTAAATCTTCCCATGCAATATTATTTACCTCACCTTCAAGATCCCTTAGCTGCCTAGTCATTATGAGCTCAGATTTAACAGTGCGTATATATACAATGACATTAGTGACTATTTAAAATATAAATTAACTAGAAAATGTATTTTATAAATCACCATGAAAATATGTCAAGTAAATAAAAATAATTAAATATAAAATGTAAATACTAAAAATCAAATAACTATACAGGCAACACAGAGGACTTGTAAGGTAACACTGCCATCTAGAGCTCAATTTAAGGACCTTCCTACCTTCACTGTGATATTTATTAGATAGCATAGTTTTAAATTAATCTGAAAATGTATTATTTTGTTAATTATTAAATATTAATTCAATTTGAATAGCCTCCCATTCACTATGCAACTCTAGGCAGCTACAATCCAACAATAAAAATGACAAGCCATGATTTGGCAGCTCATATATTTACATAAATAGTAGCACCACCATCTAAATGGTTCGTCTAACTTCCTGATCCAATTCCTGAGGGAAAAATAGGTCTTTAGTACCCAGACTCAAGTTTCCACACAAGTAAAAAGCTCACTATATGATTTTAGACCAGTTACTTTTTCTCAAGTCCAATCTTGAGAGTAAAATGATGTGGTCCCATATATTGACTTCTTTACAGGAAAAGTAAGATAATAAGCAAAAAACAAATAAGCAAGCATTACTACTCAACTTACCACAGTTTGTTTAATGACTTCTTGAAGTTACAACAACACTGAAAAAAGTGACTTATAAGACTGTTTTTCACATGATTATTGCAGCATCTCCATGCTCACATGATCAAAATTTAAACGCTTGGAACTATCATAAATATGACAATTACAGTGTCCTGGGTTCATGTGATCACCTTTTGTCTTTCTGACAAGCAAAACTCACTTTACAACCCTTATTAAACAGTGATTCACTTAACAACTGTGGCAAGAGAGACTGTAAAATGGGGCAACTGTTCTCACTTACAAAAATAGAAATTTTGGACTCAGTTGTGGTTATTAGTTGTGGTTATTGACCCTGACCTGTATACATTCTGAACACAAGCAAGCAGGGCAGTACAACAAAATGTTATAATGTAAAACAAGCTTCTTTTCCAGAGACAGGTCATTCTGTTTTATTGTCTGTCACTATAGTTTCCCCTTTTCCTACCTCCCATCACTCATTGGCTGTCTTTTTCTGTTAAAAATTCCAACTACTTCTGGTAGAAACTGTTTTTATTCCTTCTCACCACAAAATAACTTGATGAACAGAAAACTTTCACAAGTTATCCATCTGTTCTTGCTGATCATCCTTCCTCAGTCTTTATTGAGCTATTTTAGATTCCTGCCTTTTTCTTTTCTATTTTGGTTATATTCTGTAGGATACAGTTAACATCCTTATAGCCATCCTTATACCAAAAAAGACAGTACGTTTCCCTTCTTGAATGCAATATAAATCATTATACTTCAGTTAAGGAGGGACAAAGCAAAAAAGTTACACTCACGGATGTTTGGGGGGATCAAAGGAAGAAAATAATCTAATTGAAATTCAGAACATTTGTTTAAACAATTTAGGTGAAATACAAGTTTTACTCAAAGGGAAGAAAATAAATTATAATTCCTAGATCAAGACTTAGAAATTTTAGAAAATCAAATAAAAGAATCAAAGATCTGTCAGTTTGACTTTGGCAGTTAGTGATTTCTTCATAAAGAATAAAGGGTATTCAGACATTGGAAACTGGCTCATCAAGAACACCGATTTTCAGATAGTCCTTGACTTATAACAGTTCATTTAGTGATCATTTGAAGTTACAATGGCACTAAAAAGTGACTTATATTTTTCACACTTATGACCATTGCAGCATCCCCACGATCACGATTTACATTCAGATGCTTGACAACTGGTTAATATTTATGATGGTTGCAGTGTCCTAGGATCATGTGATCATCTTTTGCAACCTTCTGACAAGCAAAGTCAATGGGGAAGCCGGATTCACTTTACAACCATGTTACTAACTTAACAACTACAGTGATACACTTAACAAATGTGATAAGAAAAGTCATAAAATGAGGCAAAACTCACTTAACAAATTTCTCACTTGGCAACATAAATTTTGGGCTCAATTGTGTTCATAAATTGAGGACTACCTGTACAACTCAGAATATGGGAGGATAACATAACTTCGTATCTCCCCACAGAACTTAAGGAAAAGTAGACTATTTAGGTAGCATATTCAAATTCAATTTATTAAATGTTAACACAACCAAAGAATAGTTTTTGCATTTCAAACAATAAAATTAGCACATTTAATATATATATATATATATATATATATATATATTTGTAACAAAAATGCAAAGTTGAATGATAAAACCTACCTTCATCCACTGTAAATTGACAGCTTTTATCATTGTAGAATAGGATTTTCTTCTTATCAGGACGGGTAACAAAGATGATTTGGTCTCCTAAAGCCTGCCTCAATTATAAATACAGAATGGTAGGTGTATATCAACTGTAATTTCCAGAATGTGAAGATTTTGTACAACTGCAAATATAGTTATCTGTTCAGCACTCAAAGCCCATTTTAGAATGACTGAAATGGAAACCTGCAGTTGATTTGCTCCATGTATACAAGTAACAAATCTTTATCATTTGCAAGCATTTTATGGCAGATTGGATGAAAATACTGTGGTCACACTTTCTCCATTATATTTACACATTTTTATTGTTTATTTTATTTCTATCCTACTCAGGATGATATACCTTATATTTCTTCCTCTTATTTATTTTCTCTGTATGAGGAAGACTGATCCAAAGCCATCCAATTAGATTGCATGGCTGAGGATGGGCTAGAACCTGGGCCTCTCCCCCACTAAAAACAGATTAGCAAATTAGTAAAAAGTAACTATTAAAGTGACTTACTGTTTGCTTTAAGTTCTGAAAAAAACTTATTATGTAACATAGCTTTGCCATTATCTCTAGAAGAATAGATAATAGATATCAAGACTATTAGCAAAGATTGGCTCCAGAAGGAGCTAATTCTTCCCTTGCTATACTGGACAACAAAAGAGTAATTAACTGCCTTGTCAGTTACCCTTTGAGTATGCGTAATAGCTTCCAGTGGCAGTGAGAAACTGTGCCACAAGGGAACAACTAATTTAGAAATATGTTTTTAAAAATTAAGTAAAAATTTCTCCTCATAAATTTTTATGAAACAGAGTTTCTATTCTGTAAATTAGCAATGCTCTCTCAAAGCCAAATAGTCTAAGTGAGCAAATATGTACACAAATACAATTCAATACCTATCATTTTGTGAAAGAACGTGTTATCCTAAGTTTTTGGCTTTAAACAAAAATAATAATGCATCTTAGATGTGAAAAGCCAAAATTCAGAAACTTTTGCAGCCACTAGGAGGAATTTGTCAACTACAGAAATCCTAAGGAATTACTGTCAGCGTCAGTTTTCCATTTGCAAATTTGCTACATTTACACTATGCTGCTAAATTATTTGGATGTAAATTTCACTGAATTAAATACATCTTTTGACAAGATGTATATAGCTCAGCAGTGTAACACTGATTTGATAAAATGATAATGGCAACAGCTGCAATTTCAGTCATTTCCATTTTAATGCTGATTTTTCTATTTTAAATGTCTTTTTTATATATGTGTTCTTTTTAGTAACTACTGTATGCTAGCCAGAGTCATTTCTCATGATATAGGCAGCTACATAAATTTCTTCCAGCATTTCTTCGATATTGCCAGTAATTACTCCAATTACTTCGTTCCTGATTAGAAAAACAGGATCAATAATCAACACTATAAGCAACTTCTATTTTTTAGACATCAATCATGAAATAACATGTAAACCAAGCAAAGAATAATAAGAAATTAACCTGCCTGATATGAAAAGCCAGAAATGGCTCAGTCTTAATATTAACCATTGGCATTGAGGTGAACATGCTATGTCAGCTATTATACTACATTTTCTCAGGTGTGACAAGGGTTTGTAAGATACATTTATAATTCTTAAATCCATTTTGGATAATGTTATTACTTCATTTATGAATATATATGTATCTGTGTGTGTGTGTGTGTGTGTGCGTGTGTGTAAGAGAGAGACACAGAGAGAAAAAGAATGAATGCATATGTGTGTATATGTATAGTTATTTATATTTTAAACTGATACAAACATGTAAATATAGCAATAGCCACTTAGATTTATATACCACTTCACATTGCTTTACAGCTCTCTCTCAGCGGTTTATAGAGTCAGCATATTGCCTCCAACAAACTAGGTCCTCAGAAGGATGGAAGGCAGAGTCCACCTTGAGCCACTCAGAATTGTACTCCTAGACTTCCAGTTTGTTCCTCGTTGGTGTCGTTACAGAATCTGCGATCATGCACGGTTTTGCCCATGCTCATTTGCTGGAGGGTCCCAATCGAGACTGGAGCCACCCTGGTGGGGCGATGAAGAAGGGGGAAATTGCCTGGAGGGTCGAGGGAAGCCGCAACTCCCCTCCCTGACAGGAAAATCCCTCCAAAAGGCAAGCTGCAGCAGTGTTCTTAAAATGGCCACCACGAAGACGAAGAACATTCCGGGAAACTAAGTTTTGTGCTGGACAGAGAAGTAGCGAGCAGAGTGTGAACCAGACAAAGGACATCGTTTTTGAGGTACACTGGTATCAAATTAAAGGGCTATTTTGGAGGAAAGCGTGTGGAAGCGGCGACCAGAGAAAGTGAGAAAGAAAATGGGTCTTTAAATTTGGATTTGACTATTCTATTGGACTAATCTGGAGGAGAAATTTAAAGGAAAATACATTAACACAACAAAGGTTTAAAAATTAAACTGGACAGATATTGAACTGTGGGCACTTAAAGGGCATAACTAAATGCTGGAACTGAGTGTGTTGACAAGTATAGCTAATGATTGAAATTAGCGAACTTAATAAAAATATATTCAACAAAGAAAGTTAAAAAGAAAAAGACTCAAGAGCGCCACCTGATGGTACAGGAAAATTTTAGTATGTTTTAAAATGAGACTTTGAGACTTTGGATTTTGGAATTTGAAAGAAAATAAAAGGAACTTTACTATTGCCAGTAATTTGGGAAACAGTTGAGAGGCCAATTAGAGGATTCAGAATAAAGACTCAAGAGTATGAATTGTTGAAAATAAACTAAAAAAATATTGGCTGAAATAATATACTGGATCCTGGGATTGAATATATCTACGAAAGAAGAGGATTTCAGCTATTAAGGAAGAGGAAAGAAAAAGAAAAAAGGAGAAGATATAATGGAGGAGCTACTTGTTGATATAAGACTGGACTCACAAGATATAAGATCAGATATGCAAGATACAAGGGACATGATAAAAATCAAACTTGAAATGTGTAATTATGTACTACAGAAATTAGAAATGGTGACTCAGCATACACAAGAACATAATAAACCAGAGGAGGAGGAGTTTTATAAAGAAGAAGCCAACTTAGAAGGACAAAACGAGCAACAATTATTTAAGCGGGGGGGAAAGGAATTAGAATTAAAAATTTGTGGTCTGATGGGATGATAAAAGGGAGAATGGTTTGGAAAATGGCTAAAGAGAGAAGGAAGAAGCAGAAAAAGGAAGTGCAAAAGGAAAATCAAAAGAAGGAGAGAAAAGTTTAATAACTGGAATGAGAAAAGGAGGGGAATAAGAATGGGGAAAAAGGGAATTAAGAGAAAGGACCAGAAAATAAAGAGCAGGAAACAAACAAGGATGAAAAGAAGGTACACTGTTCAAAGAGTGAGAGATAATGGGTGAAAAAAAAAGAGATAAGGGGATTCCACAAAGCAATGTGTTGGGATGTATAAGAATATATTGAAAATAGCATTTTGTAATGTATAGAAGATTTATACAGAAAATATAATGCGGAATCTGAGAAAAATATATATATATATTTGTGTTTTTATACTAGATAGGGAGATTGATATTAAGGAAGAATGAAGGTGGTTAGCTCGAATTATTAACTAGAGGGGACAATTATATTTACAGATAAGGATTGATAAAATGACAAATGTGACAGAAAAAAAATATGAGAAATGACAATAGAAAGGAGATGAGAATTTTAGATAACATTGAAAAATAAGATATGAGAATACACTAAGAAAAATGGAAGGAGATATATTAGGATTTGGAATTGAATAAATGAACGTAGAATTGAGATGAGAATTTTAGATAATACTGTAAAATAAGAGAACATGAATTGGGATTGGATAAGATAAGCTTAATATTTAACAATAAGGATGACATAATATGAAATTTAACAAATAAAATGAATAGGTAACTATGATCATGTTTGTATTGAGATATGAAACCTGGAACCACACTGCTTGTCAAATGAGAATTTTTTATTTAAAATAAAATAAAATCAAAACAGGGAGAAAATTGAATAATGGAATTATACTAGGTATGTTTAACTGATATGGTGGTAGGCATTTGGAGGGAATAAGGTTGAAAATAAATACTGAAGAAGTATGAATTAATATGAATATATGCAATGAGATGTATGATATATTGATGCCACACTGTTAATGTATCGTTGTTATATGTAGATTGAAATAAAAAAAATGGGGAAAAAAAGAATTGTACTCCTGGAGTGAGCAGTGAGTTAGCCGTGCAGTATGCATTCTAGCCACTGTGCCACCACAAAATATATTAAACTATACAAATACATATACCTATACAATGGGTTTTTTTTAAATACAGATGAGTGGCATGGTGGCCTAGTAGTGAAGATGGCTCACCTTCCATTTGGAAGGTTGAGAATTCAATCCTAGATAGCAGTAGATATTTCTCTTCTCTAGGGAACAAAGAAAAAAAAATCTGCTGCAAACTCCATTGGCGTCAGGAATCGCAACCGACCAGTAAACACTCAGCTCCATTCAGCTGCCCGATTCTACCCTGAATTAAGGGATTCGTGTGGTAAAAAGAGAGGTTTTTTATTTGTATTTTATACTGATAATCCAACTTTATAATACCCAGACTGCTAATTTTAAATTCTTGTTGTTGTATATGTGCAACCTGATGAAGCCTTTTAGGGTATTCTGATTTAATATTGTCTTTTAGACAATTTTGGGCCTGTATGTATTTTTCTGAACTATCCTGATACTGTTAATTTAGTTTTTGGCATTTTGAATATTTTAATATCCATTTTCTTGTGCTGGTTAATCACCATAATAAATCTGATAAATAAATAAATACATTCAAAGAAATTCAAAGACCTATTCTTTTCCAGATTAAGAAGCTGCCACATTGTTCAAGAAGAGACCTGTGAATTTGACACCAGGATTTTAAAAAAGAAAAGTTGCTCTACATTATAATTGAAAGAGATGTTGATAATCCAAATGCCTTGTAACCAGTTAACAAATGTGAAAAATGCAATGATAAGCATTGCTTACCTTAATTGCTTTTTGTGCATTAGGAAGACCTTCCTCAATATCTTCCAAAAGAATTCCTCCTAATCCTCGTTGATCATGCTTATCCAAAAGCCTCAACAGGGCCTTTTTATCTTTTAAGTTATACTTAGGCTTGAAAGCATATTTCCCATCTATAACTTCTATTTTAGGATTGCTGACAAGAGCCTATAATGAAAACAAAACAAAAAGAACTCAGCTGATAGGAAATAGCACACTATTTTCTATACATTTTGACAACAAAAAACATCTACCTGGGGCATGTCCATATAAATCACCTCTGATCAGTCTCCTTAGAATAGCATATTTTGCTGTATCTCTCCGTCTCATTAATTAGTCAATCACTCTCAGTGTAGGAGTAAGTACTACTATATACTTTAAATAAGTCTCTTTTCACATTTTACTTTATTATTAGATGTATTAATTTAACTTAAATATTTTTTAAATATTGTAAATTCTAATCTTTATTTTTAGCAAGTGTGAAAATAAAATACTGAATTTTTATTTAAAAAAGCATGAAATATTTTACACTTGGAAAACATCATAATCATACAAAAATATATGAGAATACAAAGTGTGTGTGTGATATGTGCATGTGTGTGTGTATACATAGATAGCCAGACAGATAGATACACACACACATGCAGGCATATTTAATGGTCTTCACTGCTATTTGTTTATACAATTTCAACATTAAAAACAATTTATATATAATATCATACAAATGAAAGTTTATGAAGTTTCTATTTCTTGACAAATCTTGTAATGTATTTTCTTCATGTAATTTGTTGACAGTATATACAGTATGTTGAGAAAACATTTTTTTAGGGCAAAGTAACATTAAAAGTTAAATAACATATAGAAATTGTATAACCAGAAAGCAACACACTTATATTTGATACTTCTTTGCCAGTTTTGGGCATGAGACTTGGTAACAACTTATTAAATTGTTATTTATTATTTGATCATCACATTTATTTAAACTAGTACCCTTAATAGCTACTTTTGTTACCTCACTCATTAACCACTGTTTCTGCTTCAGTCCAATATCTAAGTGCTGTGTTTCATCTAATATTTCTTCTAGAGTTAATGGATGGCTATCACCACGTTGATGTCGTGTCTAGACAAAAAAAATGATTTTATTATCTTTCAAAACGATAACATTAGTTACATTAGAAGCTGACAAAATATGTACAAAAATAATCTTGCTTAACGAGCCGAAGGACCTTAACTGCTTCCATTTCAATATTTACTTTTCTAATTCTGTCTGTGCTACATTTTCAGTATTAACCCTGATATTGGAAACAATGTGAACTACCTAAATAAATTACAACAGTATTAGACAGAGGTGGGATTCAACTGGTTCTCACTGGTTCAAATGAACTGGTTGTTAACTTGTTGCCCAGTTTGGAGAACCAGCTAATCTGACCTCTAGCTGGCCCTGCGCACCCCTCCCCTCCTAGGAGTCCCCCCCCTTCAGTGCCCCATTTTGGCTTCCAGGATGGTGCAAGAGACCTTCCAGGCCCAAAGCCCCTGCTCTAGGGTGGGCTGGGAATGGGGATTTTGCATGATCATTACTGTGGGGGGAGTTGAGAATGGAGATTTTGCATTATGATTGCTCATAAGTAAGTAGGATCCAGTAAAATTGGAATGGAAAAATCCCTATCTGTAGATCAGCTTTTTTCAGTCTTAGCAAGTTTAAGATGGGCGAACTTCATGCTGTCTGGGAAATTCTGGGAACTGAAGTCCACGCACCTTAAAGTTGCCAAAATTGGGAAGCATGGGTCTACACTAGAGCTTAGAATTTTTCATTCCTGTTTTATTTAGACTTTGGTGTAATTAAATAAATCAGTTGTGGTTTCGTTAACAAATAGTGATTAAAGCGATATGAACCATTACTGGACTTTGAGAAACTGAAATTAAAACTTGATCTGGGCTTTAATGATTAAATAAGGGATTATGGAAATAATGTAGGCAAATGTTAATCTTAGAGTAAGAGTTTGATATATTTTTTACTTATATCCATACCACAGAAAGTTAGAAGTCATTCTTTTTCAGTTTTCCTTCTTTTCCTTTCTTTCTTACACTTTCACTCTTTTTCTTTCTTGAGCCTTTTCTTTTTTCAAATCCATTTGTTTATCCCTTAGCTTTGTATTTTTTTGATGTATGAAAGATCAAATATTCAGCCATTACAATTCTACATTCCTTGTTTACAGAAAGCATTTCAAAATTTAGAATAAAATTTATAACTGGGAACCATCTCATATAATGCGACTCTGAGTCCCTCCAACCAAAAAGTGTTTATCGATAGAAAGGGTGTTGGTACTTACCTGACACGCCCATTCTCTTTGAACTGTGAAGAGCATCCAGTAGTGGGAGGTGCTTCAGTCTCTGCATGTCTAGGCTGGATTTAATTTGTGGAACGCTCCTCCTCTTCCACGGGATTCCTTCCCAGTGTTCCCCAGTTTTGGCAAAGATGAGAGAAATAAACACCCTCATCCTCAATGCCCTAACAATTCGTTGGCCGAAACAGGACCCCACCAGACAGAAAAAGGGTAGGGCTGGATGCTCTTCACGGCTCAAAGAGAACGGGAGTGTCAGGTAAGTACCAACGCCCTTTCTCCCATGAGCTGTTCAGAGCATCCAGTAGTGGGACATACCAAAGCTTGGCTTGTCCTACGGGAGGGACTCCGTCTGGCTTGGAATCCCCTCCTGGTCCCTGTGGACCCATTGCAGAATTCTTCTGCCAAAGGTGGCCTCAGCGGATGCAAACACATCTATTTTATAATGCCTAATGAAGGGCGATGGAGAGGCCCAGGTTGCAGCTTGACAAATTTCAGTTATTGGTGCCTGTGTGGCCCACGCTGCTCATATTGTGGCGCTCCTTGTTGAATGAGCTGTTATGCCCCTGGGCACCTGTAGTGATTGAGTCTGATACGTTTTTGCTATCGCAGCCTGTAGCCAACGGCCTATTGTAGAAGATGAGATCTTGCATCCCTGAGTGTTGGGCTGAAACGACACAAATAAGGCTTCCATTTTTCTGAAAGTCGCTGTGCGATCGCCTCACATCAAGCCAATGCCATTGTAGTTCCAACCCTTGGGATGGTCTGGGACAAAAATTAGGAAATATCAGCTCTTGTGCCCTGTGAAAAGCCAAGTTAATTTTGGGTATAAACGTAGGATCAGGACGAAGGACCACCCGGTCAGAATGGAAGACACAAAGATCTTGTCTGATTGACAAAGCTGCAAGTTCCAAAATACAACGAGCGGAAGTGATCGCTATGAGGAAAACTATTTTATACATCAGAAATTGGGGACTTGATGATTTCAAGGGTTCGAAAGGGCACTTAGTGAGTGCAAGAAGGACCTTGTTCAGGTCCCAGGTGGGATAACGGAGAACCGCTGGCGGGCGTAAATTTGTGGCTCCTCAAAGGAAACTCTGTATGCGTGGGTGATGGGAAAGATAGTAGACCTTCACAAGTGATAACTGATGCCAAGGCCGCCACCTATCTTTTTAACGTATTAGGTGATAATCCCTTGTCAAGCCCCTCTTGTAAGAACTCTAAGATTTGAGCCACAGATGGAGAGATGGGATCAATTTGAGACTTGATGCACCATTTGCAGAAACTGGACCATGTGGCATTGTAAATGCGAGTTGTTGAGGGGCATCTGGTGGCTTGGATGGTGGCAATAACTGTTGGAAAACTTTTCGCTCTTCAGACGACTCTGCTCAACCTCCAAATGATCAGGTGCAACCATTGAGGGTCCGGATGTTGAAGGGGTCCCTGGGTTAGCAAGACCCTGTCCAGTGGAATTCTCCATGGTATTGATACAGATAGGCTGCAGAGGTCTGCAAACCATGGCCGTCTGGGCCAGTAAGGAGCTACTAGAAGCAGCTCCGCCCTCTCATCTAGCAGTTTCTGGATGACCTTGGGAAGCAGTGGAAGTGGTGGGAATGCGTACTGAAGTCCCGGGGGCCAACAGCAGCAGAATGCTGTGGGGTACCTGAAAAAAAATATTGGGAGCTAAGCATTGAGTGGGGAAGCGAACAGGTCTACTACCAGCTGTCCAAATGTCCTGACTGCCTCTTGAAACAGGGTCGGATGGAGGCGCCACTCCGATTGATCGATCGTGGCCCTGCTTAGCCAGTCTGCCTGTGTATTAGACAGTCCCAAAATGTGCTCTGCTCTGATGGAAAGTAGGTTGCTCTCCGCCCAATGACACAACCACTCCACTTCCCGCATGAGGTGTTTCGACTGTGTGGATTGCAGGGTGTGCATTTTAAACTTGTGATATACTAAGAATCGGTTAAAACGTTTCAAATCTAAAATTGCTCTCCACCCCCCTGAACTTTTGGGAACAACAAAAAGATGTGAATAGAAACCTCACCCTCATTGTTCGGTAGCTACAGGTTGGATGGCTCGTATGTCCAGTAGGTGTTGGATAGCTGTTTCCATAAGATCTTGTTTAACCAGATCTCTGGAAAGAGGGCAGGACACAAAGAAGTCTGAGGGAGTGGATTGAAACTCTAGTGCAAGGCCGAATCTGATCGTGTCTCTGACCTAGGAAGCAGACGTTGAGGAGCACCATTGGTCCACAAATAATTTAAGGTAGCCACCAATGGGAATCAGGTCCATGGAGTTATCTTGGACGCCAGAAAGGTCTATTTCCTGCTCCTCGAAAGGATCTCTTGGACTGGCCACCCCTTTGGTTCCTCTCCCCGAAGTTGGACCTCTCTGGCTGCTGCCCTGGTCGGAAAGATGGGAGTCTCTGGTATCTGGTTGAGAAAGGTCCCTGATAAAAGGGCCGAAAGGATCCCTTCCAAAAGGGAGAATCTGACTTCCAAAAAAGGGAAGGTAGAATTTTCTTTTTGTTTCGAGTTTCGATAAGCAGCGGATCGAGGGAAGGGCCAAACAGTCTGCCTCCCACAGGAGGAGATGAAGCCAGCTTGCATTTGTGCTTAATATCTGCTTGCCAATGTTTTAACCATAGTAAGTGTCGCGCTGTGACATGTGAAGTAATGGCTCTGGCTGAAAACTGCATGAAAGATTGTGTCAGCTGAGAATTCAGTGGCTGCAATAAGTTTTGCAATGTCTTGGTGTGCTCTAATGTTAGAATTGGGGACATGCTCCCATAAGAACTGGAGCCATCTGAGAGAAGAACGGGTAAAGAAGGAAGCGGCCGTGGCCGTTCTGATGGCCCATGCATCAGACTGATGGGCCCTGCGTAGGGCCAGCTCAGCCCGTTTTTCCTCCAGCTTTAATCCCTCCAGCGCTTCACTGGGAATGGAAGACAAAGATGCTAATCCCACAATAGGTTTGTCTACCTGGGGAGTATTCAACAATTTTAAGAAATCGGGGGCCAAATTAAAGTATTTCCTGTCATAACCTGTGGGGTAGGGTACACCACTGCAGAAGCCCACTGTTTCTGTACCAGGTCCGCAAACATGTGAGGAACTGGAGTCACATCTGCCCTGACTACCAGTTGGCTGAAAATTAGATCTTCTGGTCCCTCTTCTGAAGGAATTGGAATGGTAAAAGGGGCCGGCTTGTCCAGGCATGCAGTGTTTTTGGCCTTAAACAATAGTGATTTGAATAGTTGTGGGCCGAATAAGCCTGTAAATACAGGTTGGTCGGGAACAAGGTCCTCATCCTCAGACATCCCTTTTTCTAAGGGGTCCGCTTCTGAAAGGGCCAGGTTACTATCATGTACTGATCCCGATTCAAGCTGTTCCATCGGATCAATGTGCTCTACCTCTTCTGTCTCCTCCTCCTGCGGCCCTTGGAGGAGCATATCCCCTTGACACTGTACCTGGGTATAGTGTTGCTCCAACCTGGCCAATGATCGAACTGATTGTGAATCATACTCAGCAGGTGCAGGCTGATCCCTGGTCAGAACCGCATGTTGTAGGCCTGCTGCGATTCCCTAACGGATAGCCATCTCCATCCAGGCCTTCATCCTCTCTGGCACTTCGTCTGGAAGAGATTGGTCCTGTCGAAGACTGTCAGCAGTTGGTGTGAACATCGCTTCAGGTGCCCTTCGCATGGTGGGTGATCCAGTTGACTGGGTGTGTTGACTCTGTGGAGCCATGCTGCGCCTGGATGAGGGAGATCTAGTGGGGGAGGAGGGGGAGAAGAGGAAGACGGCACTGGACTGGGGGGTGAAGAAGCTTGAGAGGTCCTGTGTGCCTCCCATGTGCACTTTATCTATTTGTCTTTCCAATGCCTTGTGGCGCCTGTTGGCGTCTTTCTCTGAGGCCTTAGAATTCCCTTTTGTCTGTTTAGATTTGTGCTGAGATTTAGACTTGACCCTTGAAGTTGAGGTCTGGGAACCACTGCCACCTGCCATTTTGATTAGAGATTTTACAGTATGCTCATTATTTAGTACTATGCTGTATAGGTGGTTGGCACGGCGAGGGACCTGACCAAGGGTGGACAGGGTTCCCTGAAATCGAAATCCCCCACTTTTTAATGGATATAAATATGTATATATATGTGTCTAATATGAGTTGTATCTCAATAATAAATTTATTATTATTACTAGTATATTATTATTATTCCTATTATTATAATTCCTATTATTATTATTAGAGTATATATGTATGTAAATATATATCAATATAACAGCTAATTTAATTGGATATCCCAATCAGCCAAATTAAGAATGCCTAACAGGCCAAAATATTAATCACAGGCCTTCAACAGCTTCCCTGCACAGGCAGACACTGGCCTAGGTGCTCACTGTTGTGCTGCTGGTTAGGGAGAACTGTGAGGGTTAAGCCAACAAGAAGAATAACAGATGGCCTTGAATATGGTTTAAAATGAAGTTGCAATAATTCCTTGGGGTTTTTGAATAAGGATCCTCTGATCGGGAATAAGAAACTACCTCACACAGTCTACAGAAGATTCACACTCAGCGCAGCCACGCAGTCCACCTACAACAAAATGGCGACCGGCCATTATTTTCAGCGCGTGCGCCAGCAGCAATCTCCCGCCGTAAGAAGGGATTAGCTCCAGACAACTTTCCCTTAGTACTAAACGGCTGGGAGGGGTGAAAATAACCAGGTTTAAGCCCTTCACCCCAAGGTAGCGTTCTGGGGGAAAACAGCAATACAACTCAGTTGCGAGTGAGAGAAACAAAATCACGCCGTTTGTTTGTTAAAATGGCATGGCTATCGCTGTGGCAAGGACAGGGCTAGCGGTTGGGGGAGTGCGGAACTAAGCTGAAGCCTCCCTCCAGTTCAGGGCGCAAAAAGTGCTTCTCGATACAGCGATCATCGACGGCCAGATGGAAAAGGCAGTGTGGGTAGATCGTTAAGCAATTTGTTAAGAGAACCTGAAAGACAAATTGACTGTCTCCAAACCTGAAAAGAGAAATTCTTCTGTTTCGGACAAGAAGTAATGAAAAAGCACTGCCTATCCCTCACAAGACTGAGCCAAAACTGGGGAACGCTGGGGAGGAGTCCCGTGGAGGAGGAGGAGCGTTCCACAAATTAAGCCCAGCCTGGACATGCAGAGACTGAAGCACCTCCCACTACTGGATGCTCTGAACAGCTCATGGGAGAAGATAATATTTGTAGTTCATGGTTGAACTGTGGGTTTCTTGGTGCTCTCTGAACTTGATGGTTTTCTTGCAGATTTTTCATTACCAAACTGGGTAACATCATCAGTACAAGAAGGGAGTGGAGTTTGCTCTTATTTTCATACACTAGTAGCTTACCCTGTTAGTATTGATCAGTTGCTTCACAAAACTGTTTTGATTGGTGCCGGGTCTCTACAGCCTCAGGCAGAGAAGGGCTATTCTGTACCCCTCTCTCAAATGTTCTTTAAAATACAGAGTTTCCCAGCATTCCTTTAGGAACCTCCAACATGCAAACTGTGGTTACTTGTCCTAAAATGAATTCTCTGTATCTGGAGCTTCAAAAACTTTTGTTTGCTGGGGAGATGTGTAGCTAAAAGTCAGTCTACATTTAGTGTACTTTGGGGATATTTCTTCATAAGCAAACAAAAGTGTATTTTCTGTGCAGTTCACGCCCCTTGCTTGTTGGATCTGGATGTCACAAAGCCCTCATTTTGTAATTAACCCTGGTGCCCCATTTTGGCTGGCAGAGTGCTGCAGGAGGCTGAGTGCTGTCATGACACCTGGCCACGTCCACCCAGCCACACCCAGCCACCCACACCCACCCAGCTGGTTATTAGGGCAGAGAAGTGGTTGTTAAATTATTTGAATCCCACCACTGGTATTAGAGCAATGTTATTGTAATGACCCGGGGCGTGGCACAAAGGCAACACAGTCAGATAATAATAAGAGTCCCTTTATTATCTCCAACTTTGCCTTCAATATCCAGGTTACCTTCTGGCTGGAGAAAAATTCTCCCAGGAACAGCCTTTGACTGCAGAAAATTCAGTCCAAAACAGGGTAAACACAAATTGTAATTTAAAGTCCAAACAAGCCAAACTGAAGTGATTAATTTGGCAGGGCAGGAGCAAGAATTTCAGGAAGGCACGGCAAAACTCACATGGTTGGCAAAACTCACACGGTTGGGAAGATGCCAGGAACACAGATAAGCCATGACAACACAAGATAAAGCCATGTTTGCTCCCAACAGCCTGCCATACACAGTTTGCCTTTTTTATAAACTGTGTTCCCAGCTGCAGCTAATGAAGGGAATCAGGGCCCTTTCCTCCCCTCTGTGGTTGTAAGCCACGCAACCCATGTTGCTCTCTTCTCCATTCCTCACTGTGTGCTCTTCCTCTGAATTCCCTCTCCCTTGTTCTCCCTCTCTCCTGCTCTGCCCAGCTGGACTTTGCCCTTCCCCAGTTTCCTCCACAGCCAAGGGAGCCACACTCCCACTCCCTGTCAGCTGTTTGGCTTCCTCCTCGGATTCGGACTCCAACAGGGTCATGACAGTTATATTACTAGACAGCAGACCACAAATCAGATTAATTCAAAAGGACTTTATCACAAGCAGCTTTTAATCCAACCAATTTGCACCAGGATGTTTTCACTCTGTGTAAAGTAAGAGACGCTTCTTGGCACAAGTGAGTTTGAATATTACCGAACCACATTTTTAGGAAGTCTATTCAATTTGTATGTCATCATGCCATACAATTCAGACTTGGCTTTCTTTCTACAGGTTGCAGGACTGTATCATATAACATAGCTCTATTCATCTACAGCAGATGCCCACATTACCATAGGAAGATTAATCCTGGGCAAATATGCTCCTCATAGCAATCCCATCCAGCCTTTTATGACATTGTGAATTTGAAGCTCATGAATAAAGGGGGATTCTCCAAATAATTATTAGCAAGAAATCCAATTCAAAAGCTATGTATACTACTGCATTACTTTTATTTGTTATAAATAAAGAGACCACAGGGGAACTATATTGTAAATGCTGTGTTTACATAAAAATGCACCATTTTTACTTAATTATAAATATTAAATGTACTCCATTCTAAGATAAAAAATGTCAAATCCCAATCTCAGTGTTCATTGGCTCAATCCAACAATCGTTCATTTGGGAGAACAATATATTGCCCCAATTAGCAAACACAGGTCTGAAATTCTTTTTGTACCTATTTTTGTGTCATCACATATTTAAGTATTGTTGTTGAAATATGGTAAGCATAAAAAGTGCACATAGTAAACTTGGTGGCAAAATTATACCTTCATATAGTTCACTATCTTTGCAAGCACTCCAAACTTGTAGCCAGAGCCTCCAGAAAGAGCTTTCAAATTAAAAGTTCCATTGCTGTGGTCTGTAAAGGAAAAGAAAAATGGTATTGACTCTCATTCTCTGGGTCAGGCATAGTGAAATATATACTTCTGGAAGAAAACTTATGAAAATATTATATACTTTACTGAGCTATTCCATGAAAATTGAGAAATTTTATTATAAATTTATTAGAATTATATTGAATCCTAAAAATTGGAGAAATCAGGATTTCTTAAAGCACAATTCATTTTCAAAAGAGTCAACAAATTAAACATGCTACTCTAAAAAAATATAAATCTTCAAATGTTTTTGTGTTGTTCAGTATATTGCTATACATCTCTTGGTCCAGCCTTAAAACCAGCAAAATTATTTATTCAAAAAATGAATTAATCCACTTTAATGAAAATTAAGATCCTAAGAAATATACTCAATTAAAAGTAATCACAACAGATCTTACTCATACACAAACAGCTGGAAATCACTATAATAATGTTTTTTAAAAACTTTAAGCAAAAACAGAATTACAAAATAGCTTTGAGTGAAAACTGTTTCTTGATTAATACTGAATTACAAGAATGTATTTTTCTTCTTATAGGAAACTGCTATCAGAACATCTCAGAATTTTTATCAATTGGTTAATCATAAAAAATAACAGGAAGCAATTTATGAAAGTTACAATGAAAAAAATCAGTGTCCAGGAAAACATGTTTGATGTCCCCCAAAGAAATCTACTCTGTCTTCCTCCCTCCCTCCCTCCTCTTCAAGCTCACATATTGCAATTTAAGAAAATGATGGGATATAGAAGAAACCTACAAAATGGAAAAGCATTTTCTGGCAAATATGTATAGTGTACACTATCATGGTTCCAGGTTACCTAAGCTGGAAGCAGTTCAAACTATATTATCTTCCGGTTTCTTAGCCTGAAAATGAATGAAACACAGCAGAGTTGTATTTGCATCCCATCATGGTGAAATGATCTAGAAGGATGTTGTGTTCTGAAATACTGAAAGCTTCCCTGAAGAAAAGGAACATGTTCAAAACTGTCTCAATTTTGTTTGTTTTTGTTTGTTAAAACAATTGCAATAAAATGAAAATAAAAAGGATTCTAAGTAATCAATATTGTTCAAGAAAAGCAAATGTCTGTTCTATACCAATCATGAAGTTACTTTACTACAAAGTCAAGCTAACAGAAAGAACGTTAAAAAAGCTTTGGGTAGATTAGAATTTTAAATATTATATAAAAAAAACAATTTCTGGAAAAAATGATGGTCAACAGGAAGAAAATGGCAATGATCATAACTCTGTATTTGTTCATTTTACATAGGCTTCATTTTAGTTCCAGTTGAGAAGATTTTGAATCAAAAGAAATTGCAATACCTAATTGACTAGCTGGAACTTGAAAAAATTAAACAGGGTTTATTAGCCTGGTTGGTACTGGGATGGAAGATTACAAGGAAATTCCAGATTTATAAACTAAACAATAAAACTGGGGGGGGGGGGGGGAGGAGAATCTTAGAAGGTTGTAATGGCATATTACTCCCACACTATTGACAATAATTTGTCATTGTATTACATGTCTCATAATATTCTCTTAAATTCATTTTATAAGGTAATTTTGAGGTTTCTTTCATAGTGTAACAAATAAGAAATACAATTTATTTGCTTGGTCAAGAAAATCCACTGAAAGTAGTTTTGAATACTGGAAATATCAGAATATATCTCCTTTTTTCAACTGTGTTTTATAGTATTTTATTATATGACTTTTGCACACACACACACACACACACACATATATATATATTTGTGCTTGTCACTTTGTCAGGTATGCTGAGCTACTAAAAAGCCATTTACAAATTTAGAAATATATAAATCTGAACAAAATGTTTAAGCATATTATGTTTTTTACAACTATCATCTGATTAAATGACAAACTAGAATTATAAAAGTAGGCCAGAAGACAATGGAAAATGAAATCTTATTAAGCTGTTTCAGAAATCACTGCTTTAATTTCACAGATTTCAATAGCTTATACCATAAAGTAAAAGACAAAGAATAATGGTAAGTCATAAGGTGTTCAAAATATACGTTTTTATTCCAACATGCATATATGTAATTCTCCTCTATTAAGACCTTGACTGTACATGTGTGTTTCACATCAGCTTAATCTGCTATTAGAAAAAAAAACCCTGAATAAATTAAAACAATAAATATTAAAGCAAACTAAAGCAAAAAAGAGCATTGTTTTAAATATATATCATTGTTAAATAAGCTTTTAAAGAGGTTAACAAAGTAGACAGAATGTAATCTGATATTTTATATATTTCAGATTTATTAACGATTTCCTCATTGGGTAAGGGTCTAATGCAAATAAGCATAAAGGAAGCTGTCAGCTGCATTCTGCTTCAGCCAATAGTAGCAAAGCTCCATCTTAGCTGTACCAGAAGCTGTATTAAAACAGCAGATCAGCACTGTTCCAGCATCTTTTCAGAAAAGAGGTACGTCTATATCTTTTTTAAAAAAAAATAATGCCTTATAATTATTGTCTTTGCAAAAAATGAATACATTTCAGAAAATTAGAATGTGTAACAGCCCTTATTGATGCATTTTTCAGTTATAGTTGTTTTTGATTCTGAAGCTTATGAGCATGGTGGTTAAATGCAGAGGTGCTTGTCTTGTGATAATAGAGAATCTTGCCATCTGTGCATTCATGAAGAATTGATGACCATCCATTTTAAAAACAGACTAACATACTCAGTAATTGTAAACTAATCTGAGGTTCTGTTTCCTAATAATTAATTTCATTTTAGGAGGTAAAATTTAATAAATAGGACAGTGTATTTTTAAATGCTAGCAAGATTTTAATTTTTTTCCAAATTTATACACTCATTAAATTGCAAAACCTATCTTATTAACCAAGCCAGTAAACTGATCTCTTCATCTACCCTTGCCATCTGGCCATTGTATAAGATGAATCAGTAAGTTGCTAGCATGGACACTGCTTTAAAGAAATCAATTGGTTTGTAATAGTTTAATAAATAAACTTCCCCAAACTCAATTCAATCTGAACTAGCCACTGGTATTTACACACACACACACACACACACACACACACACACACACACACTGTTTTATATCAGCTGATAATAATGCAATGTTAGGTATTCAGACATAAGACAGGTTAGTGAAGTTTGCCCCCTCCCCACATATATACAAATGATTTAAGATTGCAACCAAATTTACAGAAGTTTCTGAATTTTATTCAAAGCTTTCTTCTAAAGAATTATAAGGATTATTTAAAGCAATCCAGTGAACTTCATAAAAAGCATACTTTTATTCTTGGTATAACCAAGTAAAATTTCATTCTTATAACCAGTCAATAAATAGTACATATTTTTATCAAACCATATAACTAGCTAGCATTCAGCTGCATAGATTATACTGAAATTTTTAGTAGACAGAACATGGTTTGTTTCAAAATTTTAAACTCCCAATACAAAAATTGCCATCATGGATATAGAAATATATATTATGTGTTTAATTAGAATAGGACAGGAATCCATTTATTTCTGTAGTTAAATAAACATAAGCGACTCTGAATACAAACATTAGCCTGAGATTCTATAATACACGTTTTATCTTATCAAAGTAAGATTTAAAATAAAAATGAGTAATGATTATCCTTATGAAAAACTGCCTAGCTATTTTTGAAGTCAGAAATAAGTTTTCTCCTTAAATACTGAGTTCTAAAAATTCTGAAATGTGTTGTCTTTTCACTTTTGCAAACTTGTAGAGTTTAATATTGCAATTAACAGTAAAATTATATTACCACTATATATCTGTGTCAAACAATTGCACGCTGTCAAAAACTAATATACTCTACTTTTTCAACCCAAATTAAATTTCAATATTCAGGGATCAGTTTCCCAGTAAAACTTTCAATATTAACAGTTCTCTTTGTATCATGAAACAGACTGGTTTCTCTTATTAGACAAAACATGCCTGAAGACAGCTGTTGCCAATATAACATCACAGCTGTAAAAGTCAACTTGAAGGAGACCTTACCTTAGCTAACTCACACCTTGATATATCCCTGACTCAAAACTCACTTTAAATATATTCTAAATATTTTGACACTTATCAATGTTGCTTCTAGTAAATACAAACTATATCTGGAACATATGCAGTTATTCTGTCAATTCTATAGTAAATTTACTGCAACTTTAGGGTAAGGAAACTGCTGTGGCTAAATGAAATATATAGTTATCAGTACATATTACTGCTGCCAAAGATGGAAAGAATCAGTTAGGAAATTACAAATAAACATTTATTTATTTTATTTATTTTTATTTGTCAATCGCTTACAAGATAATAGGTATAAGTATATACATTGTTTTGAATACATGAAATGGGTACATATAAGAAAAATAAAAGAAACAATAGGACAGGGACGGTAGGCACATTGGTGTGCTTATACATGCCCCCTACAGATCTCTTAGGAAAGGGGTGAGGTCAATAGTAGACAGTATAAGGTTAAAGTTTTTGGGGCTTGGGGAAGAAACCTCAGAGTCAGGTAGAGTATTCCAAACATTGACCATTCTGTTGCTGAAGTCGTATTTCCTGCAATCAAGTTTGGTGTGGTTAACCTTGAGTTTGAAGCTATTGTGTGCTCTTGTGTTGTTATGGTTGAAGCTGAAGTATTCATTGATAGGTAAGTCATTGCAATGTATGATTTTATATACCATACTTAGATTAGACAGAAGACGGCGTAATTCAAGGTTTTCTAGGTCTAGAATTTCAAGTCTGATGGCATAAAGTATTCTGCAACGAGTAGAGGAGTAGAAAACTCTTCTTGTGAAATATTTCTGGACTTTCTCAACTGTACTAATATCAGATACCTAATGTGGGTTCCAGACTGATGAGCTGTATTTGAGTGTTGGTCTAGCAAATGTTTTGTATGTTCTAGTTAGTAGTGTGATGTTACCAGAGAAAAAGCTACGTAGGATTAGGTTAACAACTCTTAATGTCTTTTTGGCTATGTAGTTA